CAAGACAAATTGAAAGGAAAATATGTACTAGAATTTTATCTTCATATAATACCAAATAAATATGTTTATTATTTAAAAAAACTGGCGTTATCTGGCCTGCAATGTCATTAGGTTTATGATGTGGTTGTTGGGATTCTTGAAGACAAATGATGAAGGCGACTGCAGCTGCTTGTTGGGATTCGTTTTGAGGAAAGCCAGGTGCTTGGTTGGCTTCCATGATGCCCATGCAGGCATGTTGCTTAAGCTTGAATCCAAGTACTGCATGTGAACCAGATTCCAACAAATGGTATACGTACAGATAGGCGACTGTATACTACACATTATCTCTAATTATTTAAGACTAATATGTTCCATTTTCTAAAACGGAAATTGATAAATCGATGTGTCTATTTCTCTCATCATCTGAGCTTTTAATTTTTTTATTCCTGGACGGGACTCGTTATCAAGCCAAAATCTTATGTTTAAATTTATTTACATATATATATATATATAATGTTTGTGTTAATTCACATGTTGATCAATACGTAAAAAGATATATAAATGAGAGAAATGAGAAAAGTTATCATTTTATCAATAGAATTTTAGTTCAACGATGTTACTCGTGAAGACCTCAATACATATTTAAATGGTGAAATTTGTCGCATTTGAAATTGTCACCCATACTTGAAGTCACGTTAGTGCCAAAAGTTACAATGGAATTGATGACTTGGCATTTAGTTTTTTTTTTTTACTTTATGGAATTGGCTTTTGCTGTTGTTGGATTTGCATTGACAAGAATAATATGATGCACCTACTGTTCTACTCTTTGGTGTTCTCTCCATTTCCAACTGACATATCTTATGATCCAAGGAATAAAAAATAAACTTATTAAAAGTAAAAGAATTTGCCTATTGTCCTTCAACTTCAACATAGCAGAGAAAATAACATTGAATTTTTTTAATATTTTTTATCAAACGATAGATTTTATTAGATTATCTGTTATATTAGCCACTGACTCCAACCATTCTAATTCGAGAGAATCTAGTTCTGAATCTTATTGAATTTGCATTTGCTATTTGCCACCATTGCTTTAAAATATTTTAAGAAGTTTGATGCAGCAATAAAATAATACAAATCATTAACAAGTTATAATCTTTCTTTCCTTCCTTCTAGTAATTCACATAAAATAATTTTTTAGGGTTTTTCTGCGCAAGTACGATCTGAACTTGTAAGCATGTGCAATAATACCACCTAAACTTTTATTTTTTATTGTTTACCACTGGAAATCTCTTAATTGTTGAAATCTACCACTTACTTTACTATCCATCCATTTTGCCGTCAAAACATGTCATTTGTAGGGATATTATTGTCAATTAACTTTATGGGGTTGGCTAGAATCCAATTGGCTCCAAAGTAATACTGCCTGAGTTAATGTGGCACCAAAACTAGGATTGTGTACTGTCCTAGTTCGGCAATTCCCTCCATAAGAGTTTGAAAAATTAATAGTTGAATAAATTAAGGTGAACCACAAACCTAATTGCTTACCTACAAAAAAAAAATTAAAAAAAAAATCTTGAAAACTCATTGTAAATGAAAGACAAGACTTTTGCATAATTTTCACTTCAATTCTTCAATAATCCTTGCCAAAATCAACTTCTCTCTTTTCTTCATTATCTGACTTCGACACTGCTAAAAAAAAAGGAGTTTTAACGAAAAACCTACGGTACTGTTCACTTCAACGAAAAACCACATTTTTACACTAAAAGGTCAAACATAGTACTATTCACTTTACCCTTTATTTTGTTCTTATCATTAAAACTCAAAGTTTTCAAGCCCTTTTAATTAGTTTTCCTAAAAAAAAAAACCCTTCTGCGTTTGTACAAATTCATACCAGCAAGCCCTAGGAAATGAATATTTGACAAAAAATCCCTCTGTGCAAGGGGCACTTGACATGTTTTAACAGCAAAATGGATGGAAAGTAATGTAGATTGTAGATTCCAACAGTTAATAAAGTTCAGGTGGTAAAACTTAAAAATTAAAACTTTAGATGGTATTGACACACATGCTTGCAAGTTCAGATGGTACTTGTACAAAATCCCTTCGTGCACAATCAAATACAAAGAAAATACAGAAAGATAAAACCGAACTCATTCGTCAGCCCGAGGACCATCACCTTAGATCACGCAACTATGGAACGTGAGAATTATGCGAGGAAACCCTCGACTGAATGGCGCTCCTTCGTTGTAAATCACAATCTCACACAAAAATAAATATTTCATTCAAATCACAAAAACAAAAGTTAATACACATGTTAAGTTCTAATTTATGCACAAAAAAAAAAGATAGATTATGTTAATAAGTCTGGCTACAACAGTACGTATCACTCAATGTACGAGTTTTATGCAGAATTTAATCGTTGTAAAAATTTATTAAATTCTTACATACAAAATCCAGCCATTAATTTACCACTTAGTACTACGATCTAGTAGTATTCTTGTTAACTTATAAATAAAATATCATAGGTTCGATTCTTGTCAAGGACGAATTTGGATCATATTATTGCTAATCCATTGTGATGCTTAGTCCACTCTTCCACCCCCTTAATGTAAATAATATCATTTATTAAAAAAAAAAAATAATCGAACCGTTAATTCATCAGATCACTTAGAATGATACGTACTATTGAAGAAAAATCGGAGATTAGCATTGTGTATTTCACAACTCAAAACAAAATTAAGTATAAAAAATAAATAGTGCAATTATATTTATTCATGTATTGTGTTGGGATATAACCTGGGGTTGGGGCATTGGGATCTGAAACCCCAGAAACATGCCATGCCTGCCTGCCTCCCTGCCCCTAATTTGGGTCTGGTCACTTGTCAATATTCAGTCAGCGGTCACAGGTTCAACTTTAAGACCACTTTTTTTATTTTTTATTTTATTTTGTTAATCCCAACAAAAATAAGCACAAAAAATCAAAATTAAAAAAACTGGAAAAATGCGCAACGCACACGTGCAGTGGTCCCAAAGGACAATTAAGTATTGGGTTAGTGACATCATCGGGCACGTCCGGTCCAACGCTTGTCGCCTTTTTGATGGCCGGGCCCGGGCCTCCATTGTTGGCTAAGGGATTGATTTGAGATGTTGGGATTGGGATTTTAGGGATTTAGGGATTTAGGGATTTGACTCCACCCATCCACTCCCACTTCCTCCGCCTCTTGTTTTTCTTTCACAAAAGATAATGTTGGCGGATTAAATAATTAATTATTAACTAAACGAACAATTAATGGGAGTCAAATCAGTACGAAAATGTATAAACATGATTATTTTCTGTCAATACGAGATTAAGAGGTCATTTGCCTCCTCCTGTTTTTACTTGTTAATTCACTGAAAACGATATCATTGGTTCACTCTTGTATATGTACACCTAAAACTCAGTGTCCCAATTCGTTTGATTAATTCAAGGTTAATTAGGGAGTGTGAAAAAATGTTGGATTGTTCTGGTGAATATGATATTTCTCTTCAACTAATGCTTCTTGGTTTCAATCATCGTCTCTCGCCTCCCCTTTAGTAAATTGGAACTTAATGAGAAAAACAATATCACTTATAATAAGAGCTCCTCAAAATAATGCTAATAAATAAATAAATAAAAAATCAGTAGAGAGTGTGAAGGATTTCTCAACTTAATTAGAGTAGTCATAAAAGTAAAGCAGAGTGATTCGCGAGAGTCAAAAAGTCAAATGGTCAAAGGGTGGATTGGAAGAAGAGCCAATTCGTGAATGAATTATACGTGCAAAGACATAAAAATAAACATGTTTCCCTGCGTGCATCAGAATCTCTCTGTTTCTTCTCTAAAAGCAAATCCACCTTTGAAAAATGCGTTGGCACTCACCTATTTAATCCACCCAGTAACAATGATAGATCATATGAATAGTAAATTGACCAAATGTTTTTCCATCCCTAAAAAATATGCTGGCACAAACATCTTCATCCTTACAAAATATGGTGGCACCACCCAACCCATTTGAAATATTATTAATTTTTTTACAAAATAAAAAAAAATAGTTTTAATTTCGGATATGATTTTTAACCAATCTTGTCACGTTACGTGTCATTATCCGAAAGTACTATTTTGATTGAAAGTGTTGAAAATATTGAAACGTGATGTAAGATGGAAGATGATGGTTAGATATTTATGGAAAAATATATATATATATTTTTTTAGTTTTTCTGAATTTTTTAACATTTTTTTATTAAGATAATTAATCTGAACTGTTGGATTTGAAAAAGAATTCAAATCCAACAACCCAGATCACGCACGTGGCTAGGCATTGGATTTGAATTTCAAATTTTTTTTTTACCATTGGAAATCCAACGGTCCAGAATGAGCCATGTGGCATCCGGACCCTCGCCCTTGTCGCACCTGCACATGCGGGCCTTGCTCGCTTTTTCTTGTCGAAACGCACGGCCACTCGCGAGTGTTTCCCATGTGCCTGGCGCAAAAAAAAATTAAAATGGCCTGTAATGTCATGCTGGCATCAACATGACATTACATAGGCCGGGCCTTGGTTCAGCACATTCTAGGCCAGCCTATGGAATGGCGTGGGCTAGGTGCAAGCCTATTAGGCTGGGCTGGAGCACTTTTTGTGGGTGGCAGGCCATTTTGGAGGCTGTGAGCCGACTTACCCCTTTGGGGTGGACTTGCTCTAATAAGTTTTCAGTTCCAAGAGGCTGGCTGCATTTTCACTCAGCACCTTATTTCACGCATAATTGCATAATGGAATCATGGTTTGGTTCAAATTAAATATCGGTTATTTCACCGGTACCAATAAAAATAAAAGGACGCTAAAAGTAATCAAATGAGAGCGTTAAAACTCGAAAGATGGTGTGAAAATCGCACGTAAAATGGCAACCAAACCGATTACGTTTGGTGGAAGCGAACCAAGCCGAAAAGGCAATCAACACATTGAATCACTTTGCATGCTAATAAGAAAAATTCAATCGAGAGCGGGACAAGGCAGTGACCATCAAAACTGCAGTAGATACGTATAGAATCACAACAATACCTAACCAATTTATACTTAAATCAGTCCGGATGCCACAATGATAGATATAGATCCCACATTACGAATGATTCCAGCCAGAAACGAAAATACGGAAAACATTTTGGATCTGGGAAATTCCCATACTCGGTATCAGGGAGAAACAAACCTTTCAATAATAAACAATGAGTTAACAATAAATAAACAGAAAATAACCATAACACAACCTACCTTCGAAACAAAAATATACTGTACATGACTGCTGCTGCTGCATAAGCCGCTGACATGCTGCCAACCGGAAATTGGGGCCCTGGCTTTCAGACTCAATTTCAGATTCAAACAGCCTTAAGAAGGATAAACCCACAATTTACTCCAAAACAGCCACTTCCTGATCAACCCTCCAATAGTTGGTGTCATTGAACTCCTTATTTGCAGCCTCACCGTCATCAGGGTTCTCTTTTTCTGGCACCTTCGGCATAATGTTTTTCTTCAATGGCCCTGCCTCCCCTACGATACCCTCTTTAAGAGCCTGCTCCATAGCCTTCTCAGTACCATCCAATTCCACACCCACGAATTCAACATCCTCTTCAAACAGTGATGGGACAGCAGCTGATCTCTGGCTCACATCACTGCCCACTGACCCTGCAGTAGAAGCAGTGGAGGATGGAGGAGAGCCATTTGGAAGTGTAGGTTCTCCACTTGAGTGCAAACTAGCACCAGCATCTGGTGCCACTACCTCGGCAGTTGAAGGATTGACAACTGCGTCATCATGATCCTCAAATGGATTAACACTTGCGCCGCCGACTTGCAAATCTGATGATTCACTCCATCCCACCCATTCAGGCAAAGGCCTGTCTCCAAACATGTCATCATTATCAGATGTCTCAAATCTGAAGAAACCCCCCAAGTCACTGGAGGCACTTGTCTTCTCGCCATCTGGGTTCATGTTACCACCGTTGCTAAATCCATTCATAAGGTTTCTGTTGGAACTGGACGCGCCATTGACAGTCTCTTTACTCCCGGCCAACTCATCATCCTCCCCTACCACAACCTCATCATCACTACTGCTATTACCACCATTTGCAGTGCCGTTCAAGTTTACTTCTTCCATCTCTGACAGTGATGTGCCCACAGGTTCATCACCGGTTCTATCATCTTGGAATGCAAACCAGTTGGAATTTGTGAATAAACTGCTGCATTCAGGATTAAAACTATTCAGCATCCACATTAAACATATTCTACAGCGAAACTTGTAATACACAGCACCTGAGCCAATTTTAAGCTCTCATGCACTTGACACTTCAATATCAAGCACTTTTGCACCACAACCAGACATAAAATTTATGACCAACAATTTTCAACCTTGTGTGGAGCAATAAGTTATGTAGTTTGTAAATCACAAGAACATATACAATATATGTTATGTATAAGATATATGTTTGAATTTTTATGCATATGACATTACAACTAGAGAGAAAATACATAGACATCAATTGCCAGCCTCGTGAAGCAATTAGTTGAACATATTTAATACATTGCAACGACATACCTTATAAGATACTCCACCTTGGAACAATGGAAGACATGAGAATACAATAAAATCTCTTCTTTTTTCTTGCAATATTTTGGTATTTTAGGTCTACAAGTCAAGCTGCTAGTCGCTATATAATGTCTCTGAAAATGTTGCACCTTATTATAGACCTAAGTTCTAACTGCCAGTTTGTTGCACGGGAGGATTGCATGCGAACCATCAAGCCTATCAAGCCTTGTTGATTATTGTTTCATTTCAATCATATTGTCTTGAAATGACTATAGGATACTTAATTTTCTAGCCCACCTTTTCACCTACAGTAGAAACTAGCAGACCTATCAACATGGATGATGTTCAGAAGATAACAATGAAAAGGAACACACAAAAGAGCTTATGAAAAATTGACAAATTTATAAACTAAATCGAATCTCATGTAAATTTGCAACCCTTTCAGACGCAATATTTCTCCACTGAACCCAAATTTCAAAGTTTATTTTTCTTCATACAAACAGTGGTAAATAAACAAAAGGTTACAAACTTACCTTCCTTGGTCATCACCAAGACGCAAGGATGATATGACCACTTCAGCAGATTCATCATCAAAGTAGACATCCTGCATTTATAAATCCAACCCCCTCATTCAGAATGTAATTAAACCAAAAAATAATAATAAATATTATTTTTTTTTTGAACATAAAAAAATAATAATAAATATTATTAAGGGAGTTTTAACGAAAAGCCCGCGGTACTGTTCACTTTAACGAAAAACCACATTTTTACCCTAAAAAGTCAAACCTAGTACTATTCACTTTATCCTTTATTTTGTCCTTCTCGTTAAAACTCAAAGTTTTCAAACCCTTTTCGTTAGTTTTCCTTATTAAAAATGCTTACATGGGTTATCTTTTTTCTATTCCGACCTCTTTACAGAACTTACTCATGCTTAGATAAGAACAGTTACCATCAAGTACTATATATCAACTAAAAAAACATCAGTGGAAGAAACAAAATTTATTACCTCATCATCTCGATCAAGAGCTCCTTGGTCCTGAAATGCAGAAAACCCAAACCATTAGCCCAACAAAAAGAAAAATGGAGGAATAATAAAAGGGGAGGACTGAGCTAGATACCTCTCCTGCATCCTCATTCCCATAGATTTTGTATCTAAAAGCCTGGCTTAGATTATTTGCTAGAGCCGCTACATCATAATCTCTGTCATTCATGTCATCCTCGTCACTATCCCTTGTCCGGTCTTGCAAAGCAGTAGGGCGACTGTGCGTAACAAGGAGAAACGTAGGTGAAGTTGACGTTGAGATCCAAAAATATAAGGCTGATGTATAGCAGGGTTAACTCATTGATCGTTTTAATAAAGCTCAACTATAAGCACTTTGTGTACCATGAATATATCATAGAATAACAGAAAATAAAATCAAGGACTACATAGTAGATATGAAATGCCATATTTAAGTTCATAAATAAGGATACATCGATGACGACATTGAAATTCATATCAAATAGCGATTTTTTATTAGAAATTGTGGAAATAAATTGATTTATATGGAATTCACATACAAAAATTAAAAGCATTAGAATCCATCTAAATTAACAGAGAAATAGTAAAAGTTGACAATATAAATTCATGGTGTATTTTTTTTCTTTATGACTGAGTGAGTGAGAAGAAAATATAAAGTGAAACAAAAAAATGTAAAAACGGATATTTTAAAAATCAAATGCTTGAGCAAATGTGTCAGTTGTATGGAAAATATGGTAATGTATACAGTGTGGTCCCTAACATATTTGAAGAATGTACATTGCAAAGCAGATAAATGGAACGACAGCATACCCGCAAGCCCATCGATACACATTTTCAACTGCATTGCGCTCCTGCAAAACTGTTGTTTGCCACCCATTCCAGTCGCTATTTTCCTAGAAAAACAAGCCAAGCAAAGTTTTATAAGGAAAAACACTAAAAATAAAACTAGCTGTCAAAACCACTAACACCCACTCAAGTATCCCAAAATGTGATAACAACATCATAATCTTACCAATATAGAGAGGTAAAGGGCAATAAATTTGAGTTGATAATATAGACGCAGACTTTAGAGCAAAGATATTAGATATGACTTGAAATATGGTTGAATTGCTTCACAGAGAAAGAGTCATTTGACAATAAAGTTACAATTAAGTTTGATCACCATCAAAATCACACATGAGAAAAATGCCACGATCCAAATATGTATGCTTCTTGTAGTAAATCAAAGTTCAGACCTGCAACCTACCTGAAGGCATGCCTGAACCCGGCTTTGGCTGTTTCCCAACTGAATGAGCTTATTAGAAATTCTTGTGATGTGTCCGAGGTTTCCTGCTCGTGGTGCTGATTTTCCAGTAGCAGGTACCGTTGGCTACATAGAGAAAAACTCATTATCAGAGCTTGAAATAAAATCAACAAACAACTAGAGGTAGTCATTGATATATGGTTACATGCACTGCAAAAATCTAGAACTCCACTCAAGTATAACCATGCTCTCACTTTTATAATACACCTCATCCAACAAAGGAACTAGAGGCATTATAAACAAATCAAGAATGTTGAGCATTTAATGTTTTACTACAACAGTGCACAATTAGAGTAGCCAAGATATCCATTTCTCTACCTTATTAGCATCACCAGATAGAATGGGATTTTTATCCGTTTGAAGAAACTTTCCAATTAAATCACACTCTCGAAGAAGATGGTCAACAATGGCATCACTCTTGCTTTCCAAACATGACGATATTATACTATCTACATGATGATGCAAGGAATTATTGTAAGGGTACCTGCATTAATTCAATAAACACATTAGGTATCTAGTAACAAGTACATCATTCACTACAACAAAAGAGAAGAAAGTGTCCCTTTTTAACCTATACTCAGGACTTAACACTATTTCAAAATTAAAAATTGAAGCAACAGCTTACTCAAAGAAAAGATCAATGACTCGTTGGATGGTTCCTGAGCTAACCAATTCCTTTTCTGCCTCTTCATTGCCTGATCTCAGTAGAACAGCAATGAACTCCACAATCTGAAATAAATTGCAGAACAGTTGAGAATTGGGAAATTGACAGTTACATTATTCCAATAATTATTAACAATTCTCTTTCTGTAAATTAGGGTGGAAATTTCATTTCACACATAATTTCTTATCAATTAATAATTCTGCCAGCACAGTACTGAATTTAAAAATCAGTCAACAATTTAGTAGACAAAACAGCCAGATACTACTCAACTCCTGTAGAGGTCATAAGAAAAACCAACCTTTAAACGATGCTTTCCAAGTGGAGGCCTCAACTCTCCGTATGTCGTCGGCAATGTTTTCTCATCCCATGACACATTCAAAAGCACAAGCAAGTCGCCTGGACAACCACTTTGAATCTTAAAATCACAACGAAGAAACCGTTCTTTTTCTTTTAGGCAGCTATAACAAAAAATAAGGCATATTCCAATGGTAAAAGTATCACTGTATTAACAAATCCTAATAGCCCTCAGGTCTGTACAAATATGAGGCATATTCTAATGGCAGTCCCAACGTGGCAATATTTTTCCCCCTATGATATAAGCCTTTATCATAACCCAAAGCCTTGTCATATTTCAAAGCCACTGTGAGGTTCAAAATTCTTTACCCCAAGATATTCCCTTCTACTTTCATGTAGCAACAAAAGGTCAAAGTTATATTAAAAATTTAATAGCAGAGTGAAGATTCAAAATTTATTGTTGAAAACTGCAACTGAAAAACTAAACAATGATGTAACAACAGCAGAATACTAATCAGCCGAAAAAAAAAATAAACACCAGCAGAATTACACGTGCAAGGAAGCTAAACAAACGCAATTTTGCAATTTTTGGACAAATTACGGCATCAGTATTTGCACTCACCAAGTTTTGGGAGCATTGCACTGACAGTATCTGGATTAACAGGGACTGGAGACTCATACATATGTTGGCCCCGAAAAGAATGGAACAAGGGAGAAGAAACTGCTGATCTTTTCGGATCCAACAAAGAGATGCAGACAGAAAGTGAGTGTACAAGACCAGACTTTGAATGTGAATCTTCCAATGCGTGACCAAATATCCTTGTAACAAAACTGCATAGAAGTATTTAAGAAAACTGAAAACCAATCCACATAAAATGTACTAAAACGTAATAAATACTCAAAGCCAACCAAAAAAGTGTCCTGATCACAAACCTTGGGCTAGAAAGTTTGTTGGCTAGGGCCGAAGGAGCATTTCGAGTTATAGCAGAAAGTGTTTCAGCTACATTAGCATGAACTTCAGGAGAATTCTGGTCCAAAGTAAAAAAAGAATGATGTTAGATAGATGAAGATGCACCAGGGCAGCTCTTAAGCTAAGTTATTTAACATTTATTCCAAACTTCTTAAGCTCATGAAAATGTATGTTACCATTTAGTGTTTTCTCCAATTAAAATTTTAAGTTCAATTATAGTAGTCTCTCTTTTGTTATTAAATCCTACCAAAAACAATAAAATCATATAGAACTCCAACTAGAGAGGCCAAAGGCATAAAGTTAAGGTGACAAAGTATGCAACACTTTTGATTCTTTGTGTTTCCTGGATCTAAGGAGTAGCACATTTATGTAACTACTAAAACAGTGCACAGATGAAATCCACATCAAAAGTGGACATACACAGGACATATGAGCATTCAAGTAAAACAGATATCCATTAGGTTATGTTGTCAACATATATGACTCTCTACTAAAGGTATCACGAATTGAGGAAGTAAGACATTGTTACCATAATGACTAAAGAAACAAATTGTATCCATAATTAAGTAGTAACTAGGGATATGTTTCATAAATAAGTAGATAAGGAAAGATAAAATTCTACTGATAAACAAGAATGTAATCTTTCACTTACAGTTGGGCTCAACTTATCTACGATCATTTCAAGCAGATTACTTTCAGCTAACCATTGCATCACATCAATAAAATTGGGATACACATGGTCGTCCGCACCAACAAGTCGAACCAAAACCTGTGCAATAAGGAGACCTCAGATTGAGTTTCAAATAGGATCTTACATGAAAAAAACCAAAAACTTTGAACTCGATTCTAAGTCTTAAATACCTCCATGATGGACGTAATTCCTATCAAATCAACTAGCTGACGGAAAACATCCTGATGGGCCTGTAAACACCAAGGATTGTAAATCAAAACATATACACAGACAAACAAAAGACCGATTTCAGGATACCACCCATATTTCACAGCTAAAACAGTTCCCACAAAACTTTGTTTCCAGAACCATGGCATTTGACTTAGAAGAGCAAGCATTGCAATTAGACAAATGAGTGATATGGATGCTATTGTTGGCAATGCAAAGAGGCAATAGGTCCAATACAGTGCAAAGTACTGGTCTCAAATTAATGCAATGAAGAAAACCAAATCGCAGAAGTTTAAAAATATAAAGATAAGCCAACAGAATTACTTACTTGAACATAGTTCATAAGTGGGGCTGTCTTCCGTATCATTAGACATACAACAACCTAAAGTTCCCGCAAAATTTGTCAAGTAACACGTTTTGAGACCAGATAAAGTAGGACAAACTGTAAATATCCTCAAAAGTTACCTTGCCAAAATACCCAGCCAACGGGGCACTATGAGGACGATTTGGTTCCAAGAAAGAGAAAAGTAAGTTCATTAGCTGCAAAAACAAAATAAGCATATGTCAAAACTAGACAAGATTTTATACATTAAATTCCTTATTCAAGATTAAGATTTGATCATGAATACCTCCTCTTCATCCACCAAAGTCTTTAAGATAACATCAATTTCACAAGTAAAAACCTCACAAGCAATGAAGGGGAACCTAAAGATCATGAGAAAAAACATTTACTCAAACAATCAAGAGCAAAACTCAGAAGATAAAAATCTCAAACATTTTGGAGAGAAATATATAAACATTGTCAAAAGTATGCTTTGTCAAGATGAAATAATACTTGAAGGCTCGTTTGCTTTCAGCATCCTCAGGAGGTTCTTCAACAATATAACGCAATAATTGCTCCACCTGGGCTCTATCCCGTAAACTGAAAACATAAACTTACACAAGGGTATCAATTATTCATCCACAATCAAGTTCCCTATTATAGAAGATTTCATCTACTACGTAAAATTCCTCCAAAAATCCCAAAAACTGTAAGGAAAGACAACAAATTCTGGTATTGAGCTTAATATATATACAGGAGGGAACTTTGATAATATCAGTAGCAGTACAATCCGTAAAGAGACATCAATGAGACATTACAAATTAATGAGACGAGTGTTTAAGGCTTTGCATTCTTGGATAATCTCTTCTTCATCCAGAAGCTCCTCTAATGTAAAATTTTCCTTGTCTAGCACTGTCTCCACCTGTACGGTAGAAAATACACAAGAAAAAAGAACAAATCAGAGGTTATAAAAATAGAAGCGTTGCGGTCCTAAGCAAAGAATCCTACTTAAAACTACAGCAGTCAAACACTGTTACTCATGGTTTATAGCTGGACAAAGAAAAGGTAGCACGTGGGAACTAGATGCAGCTAAAGAGTGCAGCCTCCAAATCTAAACCCCATTAGGCAGAAAGCATGAACTTCAAAAGTAGTTCTTTCCCACTACTTCCATAGGTTTCTCAGCGACCAAACAGACGATAATCACACATCACAAAATTACAAAACTTGAGCTCCCCCACTTCAATCACAATCTTAATACTCAAAGACCCCACTTCTCCAAACCCCGGCAAATACAGGCGGTAATCGCATATCCCGGAATTACAAAAATTGAGCTACCCAACTTTAATCTCAATCACATTAATAAAATACCGCTCTTAAAAAGTAAATCCAACCCGAGAAAATAGTACAGCTTACTAAAAATCTACGTTCCATTCAGTTTGGGAAACTAATACAGCCACGTCCGATCAGTCTAAACCAGTTTGCAATAAAACCCAATTAAACAAAATTAATTAGCAATTAAAAACTCCACACCAGCTAAACTTCTGAATTAGCAAATTGATCAAACAGAACACCACACCAGTCAATTTCGACAAGAAGCAGCTGGAATTAGGTTTCGAAATTAAAGAGATTGGGAAAGAGAGAGGGTTACAGGAGAGGCGGCAGAAGTGAGCTTCCAAAACATGGTGAAGAGAGAGAAAGCTGAGCTGGGGAGTGAGAGCTGGCTTAGATCTGTAAACCCTAGAGGCGGCAGCAGAGGGAGCAGCAGTAGCAAAGAATCTAGGCCGTCGCCGGGGAGGTGGAGGTTTTGGGGAGCAGGTGGGGGAGGTCGGTGGGTCCGGAGCTCGAAAGTCGAAACCCTAGTATTTTTTTTTTTTTTTTTTTGGAGAGATCGATGAGGGAGGAGGGAGCAAAGGCCGTGAAGATCGAGAGTCAGAAAATGAAGGTCAAAAACAATAATAAGCTGCGTGAGAAAAATGGTTAATCGGCTCGTTGGCTTATTTGGACCGCTGGTGAAGAGAGAGGGGGACGCAAAACGGCAAAAGTACAAATGGAGGTGAGTCAAATTAACAAATTTTGTTTCGACAAAAAAAAAAAAATTATAAAAAAAATAAACAAATTTGTGAGAAGAGAAAAATGGTAAGGTCTGGTGGCACAGGATTTTATAACGTTGGCATAAAAATTTTGATAAAAATATGGGATGGCTAAGAGTTTATAAAGAGTTCCACTTTTAAAACAGTAGTAGCATTTGAGTCCGACGCTCTCAAAAACCATGATTTTTCAAACTTCAACTTCTAAAATTTTGAGTCCAGCTTCAATGGTAGGTATTTTAGCGGTTAAATTTTTTTAAATTATTTAATTTATGTAGTTACTAAATTTTTTGTTTTTAATTTTACCAGTTCATGTCATTTTGTATTACGGTCTAATGATATTCCTCTTTACTTGTAAGTGAAAGGCTTTAAGTTCTATTATCGTCAAAGATAAATTTGAATCACATTATTGCTAGCTTATTATGAGACTAAACTCATCCCTTCTCTTTAGCATAAATAATATCGTACCTATCTGTTCATTGTTCGTATTGCATGGTGTTACGTACCACTAAAAAAAATTGCTGATTCTTTTTATGTTGTCAAAGTATAATTATTGAGTCATCTTAATTATTATGTTGTCAATGTTTAGTTTCGATCTGCTCAATAATTAATTAGATGCAATTACTCCAATTTTTTTCACTCATGTTTTTGTGTAGGTATTTTCTTTATGAATGTCCTTCTCTATTTGGAATTTAAAATGAGCACATTCAATTAGTAAAAGTACGTTAAAATTTCTGAAAAATGAAAGGATGTCATGTAGTGGGAATTTTTTATTTTTTTTTCTTTGAATTTTTTAAAATAATTATAAAATTAGTAATTAAATATATTTAAAAAAAAAAAGTCAATTGTCACCAGCCCGTTGCTAGTATACATATATATACATACACGGAGAGAAGGCAGAAATGAAGTTTTGAAAATATCTAAAGTGCTCTTCTTTTCTATCTAAAGTGCTTCTTTTTCACTTTTTAAAGAATAAAGGTCAATTAAAAAGGAAAAAAAAACTGGAAATTTTTTAAATAAAACTACCTCATACAGGGGGAGTATGCATGTGTATGTGTGTGCAAAAGAACAAATAGTAGTTTTATTTTATTCTTTTAACATGTAAATTTAGTTTTTAAAAAATAATAAAATAAAATAAAAAATAGTAAATTGTCACACGAGTAAGCATGTGGTAAGAAACTAGTTTGTTATGATGATTCTTGAATTACTCTCGCTTGATTGATCATTAAAAAAAATTTAAAAATGAGAATTTGAATAAAGAAATATGATGATGGATGTGTGTGACCATTTATGAGTATAAAACATGCAATTATTATTATTATTATTTTAAATTTATTATTATTGGAAAATGAGGAAGGGTTCAAAACCATTATAAGAAGACATAAATATCACCACATATTGTTCGTTTGGGATCCATGATGGTGAAGTTTGATGTTAGTGTCCCACCTAGGTTTATATGGCTCTTCTTGTCTTACAAAAAGGCATAAATATAGCATAAAAGTACAACTACTCCACATTTCTAATATGTTTTATTTTAATCTAAACCAATATCTACCAAAAGTATATATGCACCGTACTTTGTCTCTCGTAATATCTTCTATAAGCTTAAGATTTGTATACATAAATTTATTCACAAAGAGGAATATAATCGCGACCATTTAGGTACGACATCATCTTGTGAGGCATGTGTTGACATTATGTAGTTTTTCTTTTGTTGAAGTACGTACAAAAATAAGAAAACGTCTAAAATAAATATGTTAAAGACAAGACAATTTGTTAAGAAAACTTATACATTTTGATTACTAACTAGTCAAGAAAGGGAAAAGGGGAATAGCCCAAATTGGACAATTTCTTAATCTTGGGACAAAAATAGGACAAACCAGCCATGCACAAGTCATGCACACCATGTACAAAACTGAAATTACTAAAATACCCACATATAAATGAGTTATTTGCTCCCATTTTCTAATTTTTCTCTCTCCACTCTTTCTTCTCTTACTTTCTCCCTCAAGCTTTCTCTCCCCTTCTCATGCTATGCACACATGGTGCATTGTCATCCCGACCATCATCGTCCAAATTGAAGCCACCACCGATTTCATCTCGTCCTCACGAGTCCAAAACACATAGCCTTGTCACGAATCTCATCCTCGATCGTTGGGATCGAAACTCAAGCAGGCCGTGAGTTTTTCGGCCATTTTTCGGCAACATGGCAAACAACCGAGGCTCAAGACCACCACCACTGGATTCGCATCAAGGGTGGGAACAAAGCCCAGTCATTAAATGTTGGTGTTTTGTAGGATGAATTTTTCAGGATTTGCCCAATGTATGTGCACGATATAGACATGATATGCTCACATATATGAGCCAACCCAAAAACCCAAATGAATTAATACTTAGAAGTTAAATTAAGGTTTGTGTTTCATGTTGGGGCCTATGGGTTGTGGAATAAATTTCAAGTTTTGATGTGTTACAAAACTAAGATGGAACAATTTCCGGTTCAAGTGTCCAATTGCAAAAATTTATGAAATTTTTTCCATAATGTGCATGTGGTGTGCATGGCTAACTTCATATTAATATTCCAACTCCAAAAACCCGGAGCTCACAGCTCTCTTTTCAAAATCAGAAAAATGACATCATCACCTACAACGTCACCACCATCTACACTATATGCACACTACATGCACATGATATGTACATTACATGCACATGATATGCACAGAACTGGAGATCGAGCAACAAGCTGCTTTTCGTATTAATAAGAAAATTTAATGACAACCTATTGGTATAATTGATACAATTAAAACATAATTGTTACGTATGTAAGGTTACAGTGGCCGTTGGAAAAGTCTTGTTACGTTTATCAATCACCACTTAATTGTGCACATGGAAAACATGATACTCGTTGTCGTTATTTTATGGACATGCATGATCATTAACATTCCTTATGGACATGCATGATCATTAACATTCCTCTAAGTTTTTTTTTTTTTTTTTTTTTGGCCAAGGTCAACTACGTTGTGGTCATACTCGCTAAATTTCGGGGCACAACATATGTTGACACACCCCGACCTAGATCGAGGCATGCTGGCCGTCACGTAAGGGTGACGTAGCCATGTGCACAGTGCGGAAGCAATAGAGATATAAGGAAATACGAATAACTAAAAACCAAACCAACTAGACCACTAGATAAGGTAAGGTGCAAGTGCGATATTAAGTATGAGTTCACAATCAAAGCATTAAGTAGCCTAAGTGCAGTCTAGCAGGACGAATACTAATTATACAACCACAAAGATAATCCTACATTGGTGATAATCTGTCATAACTGCCGTGAATTCCTCGTAAGCCACCGACAAGCACTCCTAACTAGAACCTGGAGGGGCGCAACACAGATAGTGTGAGTGGGCCAAAACAAAGCTTTTCAAAACCATTTCATTTAACAAAAGTTCTAACCCCTCACTATAAAACCTGTATAATTTCCCAGAAAAATAATATATGATATATCAGAAATCATGCTCAGGATGAAAATCCATATAAATATACCATGCCAAAGTATCTCAATGAAATGCCATAAGTAATCCAATTAAAATATATCAATGCCAGATATCATATTAGCCGGATCCACCTAACGTGACCTGCACGGCTGAGTCTATAGCTCATAACCAATCTAAACCATATCAAATCCTACACACGAGTCGGAACCATCTAAAGTGGTATGTACGACAAGACTAGGTGTAAAATAAATATGCTCTAGTGCTACGATCACATAAAGACTATGTGAATGATCGCGGGTCACTTACGAGTCGGAACCACCTATAATGGTTTGTACGACAAGCCTGTGCACCTAACTTGGATCCAAGGTGAGCATATGGTGCGGGAGGTAAACATCACGTGAATGACTGTACCCTAACTTTGGCGGGAGCACTAACACCGGAGTGCAGGTTTATGAGCTCTCAATGCATCACATCATATCTTGCATAATTAAAGCAATCTCATATCTTTAATTTATGAACTTACCTGGCACTTACCTGTGCGTCCGCAGCACCAATCATAAATATATGCAACTACTAATGCATAAATAAAATAGGCAGATACTTTGCATGGCATTTCAAAACGTATAATCATTCAATTTCATTTTTTAGGAAAAAATCTCAAGTATATAGGTATATACGGAAAACCAAAAGTCCACTCATTGATATGTTGAAAGGTCATAGACTCTGAGCCTCGATTAACTGCGCTCGTCCTTAGAATAGGTCTCACATATATGCGAAACAACTATATAAACGTTATTTAAAGCACATACACAAAACTAGGAAATAACTTTTCATACAATGCTCAAATGGGGTGTTTGAATATACCAACGTGATCTACTCAACCTCATGAACATCCCCATATTTTTAAAATAATTTTTGGACCACCTGCGTGCCACCACGCGCCGGCTAGGGCACGGCCAGACGCGCCCCCATGGGCGGCCAACCCTGACGGAAACTTAACTGTTGTTTGGAATATTCCGTTAAAACCCTAACATAAATTAACGGTGTTACCTGACGCCATTAGAATATTCCGTCAGACTTGACGAAATATTCTCCTTCGTTTTCCTTGGTTTGCCGTCGTCGGCGCCGCTGCGATCGCCGGTTTCTGGAAAACTTTAAAACTTCATATCTTCTTCATTTCTTAACCAAAATTCATGAAATTGTCTCAAAATGAAGCTTAGAGTGAGTAGAACACATTCTTACCACTTTCAAGCCTTGAAATCCACGGGATCTAGCCAGAGAAACCTCGATAGTCCGGCCAAAATTTGAAACTCGTCAAACTAAGCTTCCCGACGTCCAAAACACTCAAACTTTCTTCCCCGAGCTTCATGAAGATGTTCTAAAGCTTCCTAGTGAGTTAAAACTCACTGAAAAGTCCACGATCACGAT